AGAGTTCTCCAGAGATGAAGAACTAATAAGTTATAAATATATGAGAGGGGATTTGTTAGAGAAATTGGCTCACATGATTATGAAGGCTGAGAAGTCCAATGATAGGCCATCTGCAAACTGGGTGCCAGTAGTACAGCTCAGTCCAAATCTGGAAGCCTCAGAACCAAGGAAGCCGATGCTGTGATTCTCAGTCTGAGGCCAAAGGCCTGAGAGCCAGAGGTGCTGCTGGTGTAAGCTCTAAAACGTAAAGGCTGAAAAGTCTTGAGTTCTGATGTCCGCATACAGGAGAGAAGAGTGCATCCCAGCTTCAGGAGAGAGATCTGCCTTTTCCTCCTTTTTTTATTCTCTCCAGGCCTCTAGTGGATTGAATTCTGCCCACCATATTGAGGGCAGGCAGATCTTTCCCACCCAATCCATTCAGAATTACATGCTAATCTCTTCTGGAAGCACCCTCCTAGGCTCCCCAAAACACTTTTACCGGGTTTCTAGGTATTCCTTAATGTACTCAATTGACACCTAAAATCACAGGGCCTTTAACACGTGATTGGATCATGAGGACCATGCTCTGATGAATGAGTTAATCCATTCATGGAGTAATGAGTTATCATGTATGTGGACTGGTGGCTTTATGAGGAGCACATGAGAAAGCTCTTGCCATTCTCTCCATGTGATACTGTGTGGCCATGGGACCTGTAGAGAGTCACCACCAAGAAGAAGGCCCTCACCAGATATGTTCCCTGAGCTGTGGACTCTTCATCCTTCAAAACTGTTAAGAAATAAATTTCATTTTATTTATACATTACCCAGTTTCAGGTATTCTGTTATAAGAAACAGAAAACAGACTAATGCGGGGGGGGGGGGGGGGGGGGCGGGATCTCTGAAAGATAAAGAGAGAGGAAGCAGAATTGGGCAGAGAGAGTCTCAGACCATGCTACAGATCTGACAGAATCTGGGCCACCCAAGGGGTGAAATCAAGAGCAAAGAGTGCCCCTTAGAGAAGACCACATTGGGCAGAACTGGCCAAGTACCATACTCCCTTTGATATTCAGTCATTGGTGGGGGCTGCCTGACAAGACCTTGGCTTTAGCCTGAAAGCTTGGACAGATCCTGAAGGTTTTCCCAGCTGGAGGCTGTCAGCTAACTGCACTCCTGGAGCTGAAAAGTA